CGCTGCTCTTAGAGAAGCATTTTGCCAAGTACTGCCGTGATGGTTGTCGTCGGGTTACCGGCGGAGGGGCAAAGGGGGGGATATAGAAAACGTGTTTGTCTCCACCTAAGAATCTCTTGGTGTGGGCAACCGTCGGGGGGGGCTTGTTTCCCAACAGAGGTTATATATAGGTTTTAGTGTGAAGCGGGGTCCAAGTCCATGCTTATCGTAAAGAATTAATCCCGCAGACTCTTAAACTATGATGTCATGTTCTTAAGTGATGGTGGAGCGTTCTCTCATGAACGAGTGTCAGGAGTCACGGAAGTTGTGGTTTTATGTGCTGTTTCCTCTTTCCGTGGTGACAACATAAATGTTGTTCTGACGTTTACTTGGACGCCTAGTAATAGTGTACAACATCCCAACAGATCTTCAAGACAGAGCAAGGATTTCTGTGGACAACGGCTAATCCAAACATGGTTGAACGACGAGCAAAGCAAACATTACTTTTCGCGCCAAGCCAATCAAGCAATTCGGCTAGAACCACCGCGCTTGCTTGGCGGCTGCACGTCCTCATCCTCCTCGCAAACTGCATTTGTTCCCGCACTCAGCGCGAAATTAACTAGCAAAAACGACACACAACCGCCCATCACCTTGCCCTGCTGATCGGCAACTTGTGCGAGCGGCCCCAGAGGATTCTCGGGGTTGGCCGCGGCGTCCCCCATAGCGAAAACGCCGTCCATCCCTGGAACCCTCAACCGCCCGTCGATGTTGATCCTGCCCCTCTCTTTCTCGACCCCTTCCATCGAAGAGACGAGCTCCGTGGGGGCTAGGCCCGTCGACCACACCTGGAACAAGACTCAAAATCACAAAATTCAGACGTTGTTGTTACGGCCTTCACATCAAAAGTCGGTCCGCTCTCTGCTCGGTTTCGTAGAACACGTAGGTGATAACGTAGGTGAACTTCCACATGAGTATCACGCACAGGCTTCCACAACGCGTTCTTTGACCGGTGTGACAAGCTACGACGCCAGTAGCCACAATGTTTCAGCAAGTGTTAGTTGGTTAGCTTTCGGGGGTTGAACAACTCAACGGACGATTTGCACGCACTCCCATGTTGGTAGACATTGATTCAGGCGCATTATGTTCAAGTTTCAGCCAACTGCAAACGTGATAATCCCCCCACCAGAACAGCCATCTCGGGAGCGCCGAAAGAAAACAAGAGCAACTTACTATTAGCCCGAACGGTAACTTGCGGCCATCACCAAGAGTGCACTCCGTCGGCCCCACCGACGCCACGGATGTGTTGAGCAGAACTTCCACCTTCGAACGTCGATACGGATGAACAAGATGTTATTTGTACGTGACATGTGTGCATGACCACGAACTGGGGGAGATCGAATCGAGAGGGCTAAGGGATCTACTCGATGGTCAACTGTGATTGATTGCAACTGCAAAGACGTCTGGCAAGCTACTACAGTAGTGCGTTTCCATGAAACAACAGCGGTAGGCGAACACGTGGACACGTTAAGATCCTCGGTGTCGGGGGTAGACCTTCACCTTGGAAAAACACTTACTATTAATAAGTGTTGCTTTGACGGGTGTTAAATCGAGCGCATAGAAGCAGGGTTTGAGAAATACGGACCCATACACAATACCTTGCGGTTCTCAAGAAGCCGAGTGGTGTAGCTGATGAGCTTTTCGTCGAAACTGCCCATGATGTGGTCGCTAGCCTCGACCAGATGAACCGACACCTGGAAGGAACGCATGTCGTTGTTAGGTGTCGACAGGAACAATAATAAGGCGAAGAGTGTGGGGTACACGTGATCAACACCGGTTGGTTGATAGGGTCGATTCGTTGGACAAGCAGCACGGACAAGAAGGGGTTCAAGAGCGGATTGATTGTCTCTCTCGCACACCAACCCGTTACCCGCAACATCACCAACACACACCACAACGCTTAAAACAGCAACAACAACGACAGCGATAAAAAAATGTACTGGTAACTCCCACCCTCGCCACAAGAAGGGTTTTGTGTCACCTTGTGTTCTAAGTCCGGGTACCATCTCTTCACATCCGTCCTCAAAAAGTCATGCAGCTCGGCCGCGTACCTTGAAAAACGAGTAGGCGGAGGCGCAAAAAGTTGAAATACAGCCACAAAAGTCGCAGAGAACTCACATCTGTACTGCCTAGTTTCAGCAGTTCATACATGTCCTCGGTGAACCGAGATTCCCACTCAATGGTAAAAAAATCCCAACTCGACAGGGAGCATGGTTTCGTGTTGTGCGATCTCGGCCGTACTCTTCCTCCACCCAGACTTTATCTGTGAAAATATTCTCCAACAAAATGAGTGTCTTCTTCCCTCCTGGATACATAGACTTGCCGTACTCGATCCCAGGACTAGTAAACCACGTGACGCTCCAACGAATGCCTCCTTTTTCCTGTGGATAAATGGACCGCCATAGGATTTTAAGCGCATCTAGAAAAAAAATAGGGAGGGGGCACGCAGACCCTATCGCTAACCCTAACCCTAACCCCAAAGCGCGGATTGAATACTTTATCCCATATATTTGTTTAATCAATTTTTCTGCGTACACTACTTGGATAAATAGACTTGGCTTTCTTACTCAATGGATGTCGGACCCCCGCCGACAACGACGAATGACAAGAGCCGAGACCTCTCCTCCTCGGAGATGAAGGGGCTCGCGGCCCGCTCGAAGCATTCTAGCAAGCGGTTGCGGATGTTGCGGGCGTCGCCGAGCTGTTTCAAGAAGAACACGTGATTCTCCTGAGTGTGAACATACAAAGGGAAACGGGGGCGGGGGGGGGGGGGGGGGAAAAAAAAAGGGAGTGAAAATGAAACAACCCCCACAAAAACCAAAACCAAGGGAAACGGAAAAAAAAAAAAAAAAAAAAAAACCCTGCCAATGAAACCCCAAATTTTTTTAAAACAAACGGGCCGTCCGGGAAAAACAACACAAACAGCCGGAAACCCCGGGGTTGTTTTTCCCAAGGAACAATTTGTCCCCATTGCCCAACATGGAACCCAATTCCAAATTCCTTCTTCAAAACCAACGTTGTCCCCCCCAAATTTTCCCCCCCCCCAAAAAAAAACCCCCGGAAAAAACTTCCCAAACCTGGGGTCCTAATATTCCCAAAAAAAACCTGGGAACCGGGGCTTGGCCTGAACCTAAACCCGAAAAAAACATGGCCACAAACTCCA